GCCTCCTTTTAACCAGGCTAAACAACCCCAGCTCCCTCAGCCACTACTCATACGACTTATTCTCTAGACCCTTCAGAAGGTGGGCTCATTAAAATTTGAAATCAATTTATTAATCTATATATGGATAGGCAATGTAGCTTCATATTTCTGCATACTACTGCCTTTTACATACACTTGATTGAATGTTTCTACTTCCAGACTTCTAAAAGTAAAACTAAAATGTTAGCCTGCTGCTATGTTTTCTCTCTGTCAATGGAAATAAAACATATCTGAATATAGAAGATAGAAGAGTTCAAAAAGCAAGGAGAAGTGCTTCAAAAGGTCAACATGCCAATGAAAGACAGATTTTGAGAAGAATAAATAAAACTACAAAAATATGTCTGCAGTCAGCTTGATGGTATATTTCAATTTTGTAAAACATACCTGCTCAGTCCTCTTCTTCTTCTGAGGTGATCCAGTTTGTTTGGTATATATTTTTTTTGGAGGACTGGGAACACTAATGTTCTTAAATCTTCTTATTATGAATCCACACTGTTTTGCTTCTCAGGCCTCTGTTTCAAGGAATATAACTTGAAATCATCACTTGCATTGTACAAGATAAAGGGTTATTTTTTCGAATATGCAGGCTAGAATTCAATGGTCACTCAGTTCAGTGATAAATTATAACAGCATTAATAATTTTAAAAGCACCTCTTACATATCTGTGTGTGTCTTAATAATAACATACATAGTTGTGTTGTTGAAGCACTACTGTGAACCCTATTGGATATCAGTTAAAAATAACAGCAAATTTAATGAGTATTTACTTTGAAACACCAGTGTGTTATTGTGTGGTTTTGTGTGATAGCTCTGTACCTAACACAGCTGTTATTTGAGTATCAGCATTTTCTTTACATAGTTCTGAAGGTGTAATAGCAAGATATTATAGCATATTCAAGCACATGTACATATCTGAAATGCTTTGAAAACATTTAATATTAAAAAATATTTGAGGTGCTAAAATAAAAGCTAAATGTATATCTCTCCCTTCACTGTAGAAATTTTCATACATCTTGACTAAAACTACTTTCATCCTCCTCGAGGTTAAAATTTCTAGGTGTTAATCCCCTTACATACCTTAATATGCATACCTAATAGCAACTTTACCTTAAATGGATAAATTTTTTGGAGATTAATGTCTCCAATAGCTCAATAACTTCTGAGTGTAAGCCTCTGTTTCTGCAAAAATAGGATTAAATCCTATTCACCGCTATGATAAATAGCTCATAAATAATAGTAGCTTGAAAGGAAAACCCACCGATTACACATTTTCCCACTCTTTTGTGGATGACTGCTCATTCTGTTTCAGGGCAAGACACGATTATTCTGACCAAAAATTTTCAGGTTTTGGATCTATGCTGACAAGCTTTTCCAAGCTTCATTAAAGTGTAGCCAAAAGCTTATTAAAACACATAAATAAAGACAATTAACTTAAGTGTGGTTTCAGGCAAGGTTCGAACTGGATTTCAATTGTGATGCCACGAAAGCAGCCCAAATGGGAGTTACCTATATTTCATATCAGAAATGTAAATGTGCTTCACAGTCTTCTATGAAATAGCTATTTTATTTATCATATTTAATGCATCTTAAGGTCATAGAAAAATATAGCAGCAATAAAAAGTCATAAAATAATGAGATATGGTGCACTCTATATTGTGCAGTATATTGTTCAGAATGCTTCCAAGAGGCTAGCAGTAAGTCATGAGGAGGAATAGACTAAACGATCCAGAAAAATTAAGTTAGTGGTGCCCATCAACTCAAGTACTTCATTCTTAGAAACAAATGTTAAATCATTCCAGAAGTCAATCTAAACCAAACTTTTCAGAAAGAATAAATACTAAGTGAAATTATCAATTTTTATTCACTATACTCTAAGGCATAACCTTGAATTGGCACTATGATACAAGTGGTATGCCATACTCTGAGAAGACAAACTTGAGGTTTTTTTGATGTGTTTCCTATTCAGATGGATGTCCTTTTGCATTTAATATTCAGAAAGTGGTTACTGAAAGTACAGATGTCACAATGCACTAGGCTGCACTAGGCTGCATTCATGTTTGTTCAGTAGCCTTTAAATTGCATCACTTCTGAAAGAAAGACATTTACCTATAACATAAATTTTAAAATATATAACTTTTTTATAGGGAATAAAAATAAGAAAACTAAAGAACCAAGGCCTAATAAGTAAAAATGCAAATCTATTTTGCCTTTTGCAATGCATTCAGAAAAAAAAATCCCCAAATTTTGGCAATTATCGCTAGCATAGTTAATTTTTTCTATCCGCCCTCATTTGTTTAACAAACAGCAGATACACTGTTCCTTGCCACTGGGTTGCTCTGTGCAGTGACTAAGATGAGGTCAGGTTGCAGTCAGACTGGAGACTCCCTAGGGATCAGGAGTGGGGGGATTCCCCAAGGCAGCAACACAGAGCCTCAACTTCCAGGGCCCATCCTACTGTCATACTACAGAGAACAAGACTCTCCTAGCATAAGTATTCCAACGTGGAATATATATGCCTATAATGAGAATTCAGTGTAGCAGACTTTTTGTTAATATTTTAGAGTAATAACAATGAATTTATTAACTTATTAAATTGTGCTTGATATTATTTGCTGTTTATGGCAGAATAGTTTGTTGTTATGACTATGACTATTACTTTTATTAACTGTAGTTAGAATTATTTTTAAAATTAATATTTAACAAACTATGAGCACAATGAAATGTTAATAGTTTACAGTTAATAGCTTATGTACTTAATAGTTTATTCAGTTAATAGTTTATAATTAGCAACATGGACAGTGGGACCAAGTGTACCCTCAGCACGTTTTCTGACATCAAGCTATGTGGTACAGTCGACACACTGCAGAGAAAGAATGTCATCCAGAGGGACATTGACAGGCTTAAGAGGTGGGTCTGTGCAAATATCATGAAGTTCAACAAGGTCAAATGAAAGGTCCTGCACCTGGATTGGGGCAATCCCTAGCACAAATAAAGGCTGGGCCAAGAACGGATTGAGAGCAGACCTGAGGAGAAGGACTTGGGGATGTTGGTGAATGAAAGGTTTGACACGACCCAGCAATGTGCAGTTGCAGCCCAGAAAGGCTGCATCCAGTGTGGCCAGCGGGTTAAAGGAGATGATACTCCTCCTCTACTCTGCTCATACAAGAACCCAATCATAGTACTCCATCCAGTTCTGGGTCCCCCAACACAATTAGGACAAGGACCTGCTGGATTGAGTCCAGAGGAGAGCCACAAAGATGATCAGAGTACTGGACCACCTCTCCTACACAGACAAGCTGAGAGAGTTGGGGTTCAGCCTGGAGAAGAGAAGACTCTGGGGAGACCTTGTAGCAGCCTTCCAGTACGTAAAGGGTTCCTAAAAGAAAGATGGAGAGGGACATTTTACAAGGGTGTGTAGGGATAGGGCAAGGGAGAATGGCTTCAAACTCGCAGAATGTAGGTTTATGTTAGATATTCTTTATTGTGAGAGTGGTGAGGCGCTGGTGCAGATTGCCCAAAGAAGTTGTAGATGCCCCATCTCTGGAAGTGTTGAATGTCAGGTTGGGTGGAGCTTTGAGCAACCCAGTCTAGTGAAAGGTGTCCCTGCCCATGGCAGGGAAGTTTGGAAGTAGATGACCTTTAATCAACCCAGACCATTCTATGATGCTATGATCTTATGTTCCTCCTTTCATTCATTCACTAACACTTATTCTGTTAGTTTTTGGTAATTTGAAAACTAGTCAATTCAGGGAGTTGTTAACTTTGGTGTGAGATGACTTTTCTATTTCTGTACCTAAAAATTTGTTTTCTGGGAGGAGGAGGAAGGGGATAGAAATGAAAACCTACTTCTATTATATATTATATATTTATCAAACAGAGATAAAGATTGAGGATTGCTTAAGCATCCTCACTAAAGAAAACAGAAAACTTGTTTTGATGAAGTGCATAATAGACATTTGCTAGTTGCTGAGACCTTAAGGTAATTTGATTTAGATTACTGACTTTTAAAGAGAGCATTAGGAAGAATCTCTGTTTTAATAGCTATTTAATTAATTTTTAATTCCTGATGAGAGGAAACGTACTCATATTCCTACATGTAGTTACAGTTAGTGAATGTACATTCTCATTGACATCTTGTATAAACAAGACCACTCATATTGTGTTTGAGTTGATGCAAAATAATCTTTTCTTTTTTGGTTCCATGCTCGTCACATTGTGTGACCCAGTTTCATAGAATACACTGTTACTACCTAAGTGTAGCAGAATTCTTGAAATGGAATAGGTGTATTGCACCCTATGCATGAGTTATCAGAGAAAAAAAAAGTTGCACAATGTGAAGCACAAGTGAATATGGTAGTGTCCAAAAGTAAAAGCTCTGATTATCCTCTTCATCTTTCCCTTTGACACAGTCCTGCCAGAACTGGATACAAAGTGTGTGAAGTCATAGTCACAGTAATTTCTTTCCTTTCACCCCATTGAATTTTTGAATTTTACCCCCTCCTCCTTTTAGCACAAGTTCCTACTCTAAAAAAGTTGCTGAAAATTTCTGATCATAATTGTTCTTCAAGAAATATTTAAAGCTTTCCAGACAAGATAGTCTCATTGCAAACCTCAAATCTGGAAATTTCTGTCAGCTTTCCTTACAAGATTGGTATCCTTTTTCTTCTCCTGTTCCAATATTTGTTCTGATGGAGATGTCATCCTTCATCTACTTCTCCATTGGGTGTTTCTCATTGTTCCATTGCATCTTATTATACATGATATTACTTCCAAACCAAATCACTATAATTTTATTTCTCTAAAATCCACCCTCCACTCTCCATAACTGCTTATGCCACATTCAAATATCAGAAGACGAGACAATTAAGACATCTGAAATTCACCTTGAGTTTATTATTTTTGTAAATACCAAAATAAGAATTCAGAATTATCAGTAGTGAATGCTGATAGCATACACAAATAGATAATACTCCTATTATCTTCATTTTCGCTTCTTTTCTCAGTATTATTCTGTCTTGGATCTGTGTGGCTGCACTTTGGGAAAGGTACAAAACTGTACTCAAAAACACAAGTGTTAAATTGAAATTGTATGAGCTACTTCAAATCAGACAGTAAAGATGAGTATTTCATTCCAAGTAAAGTCAACAAACACCAATTTCTTAAACTTTGTTAAATTAAATATAGTTCTGCAATAAATTTAATGACACTTGATTTCATCTTATTTTCAGGTACATTTCAGAATTGAGTTTCCAGCTCAAAACAAAAAGCAGTGGATGTCCTGTGACATTATGCAGCTTATCAATGACAGAACTAAATGGCAAGTTACTGAAAATAGCCATCATAGTACTCCCTTTACAGCAAGCCTTTGCTTTGAATGTCATCTAACATTCTTAGCAAAAACATCCTGTATATGTTTTGATATAAGATAGCAGAGCTCAATTGTGCTGAATGACCTTTTGAAAATAATGCTGATTATTCATGGTTCTTTTTGCTCTTAAAATTATTGGTAATATTGGTATTGCTATCTCTGAACCTTCAATATTGCACTGACAAGTGTTCAAAGGTGTACTGAAAATATTTTTCCTGAACTATGGGGCACCTCAAAATGATAGCAGGTTATGTAGGAAAACTTAGAAAGAATAAAGAGAAGGGCAGAAAATCATCTTCCTTTTTTCACGTACCTGCTAGGACCAGATTTTGCATTTCCATGAATCAGCTACTCTTGCATTCAACTGGCAGATAATTTTCAAAGGGAAAAAAATATTCAACCTCTAAAAAAAAGTCAAAGAAGAGAGTAATAATATCCATTATCTGAGAGAACTGAATGTTTTGGGAAAAAATAAAGTAAAGCAAGTATTTCTGTAGGCCACTCCCAGTGCATGCAAGTCTGTATTCAGGAGAAAATTGGCCATTATAACTGAAAAAATGATTCTTGATGTCAATTTACATGGCAACATTTGTCAAAGATGCCATTTTCTTGATGATGTAATGATTCTGAAATAAAATATTTGCTTGTTTCTTGTTATTTTCCTTCCTATTCATGACATTTTTCTGTTCTTCCTTTTCCTTTGGTAGGAAGGAAATATGATTCGTTATACAGATGGTAGGGTGATTAGTGAATTAGCCATGTTTAGGATGGGAATTATTCTACTCATCCTCATTTGCATAAAAGACTTATCCCAAATACAGACATTTTCTTGAGTGGTCAACATCAAAGAGATATTTTCTCTTTAAATATGATTATGTGCACAAGGAAGAAAAACTTACTATGTAATGAACATGACTGCCACTTGTTAAGGGGGTACATAAGATAGCATCTAGTAGATACTTCTTGACATAGTCACTACACAAAGCAGCAATAAATTCATTCAAAATGTCTATTCAGACCTTTGGGGCATTAACTTATGTATAGGTTTGTGTGAAAATCCTCATAATAAAACCTATGAAACTAATCATTTCAGCTGAGCCAGTATTTCATTTTGAGTCTGCCTAAATGAAGAAAGTGATATATAAAGTAAAAAATATGTTTGAAAATGTGTGACAATTCAGGTAAATTCTGTGGCCTAATCTCTAATTTCATTGTTATATATTGGGTGATGAGTATCTCTTTGATTACATCCTCTTTAAGACTCAAGACTACATTTAAATTGCCGTTAGAAACTACTCCTTTTCTATGAATGTGTAATAAAATTCAAATTTTTAAACCTTGATCGAGAAGTTTCCTTAAGCACTCTGTTGAAAGGGACAATTCGCATATATTAATTTAGGAGCAATGTTTACTGTGTATTGAGAAATACACAGAAAACAAATCCAAATTAGATATGTTGCCTTAAGCAAGCAATGTTACTCCTCTGCCTACCATAATGCTTTAATGTTCCAGATAAAGGAAGAAAATGTGCTACAAAGCAAATTTAGGCTTTTATGGTAGGTAACAGCACAGCTCCCAGAGGCAGCCAATAGATGCAGTGGTTTGCACAGAAGTTTCTGGGCTCTGCTTCTTTCAGATTTTCTCTAGATCTTGTCAAGATTTCTGGGCACCTTGCCTGGGATACCCTCTGAAGGTTTCTGCTTCTAAGAGGTAAGGCTAAGAACAAAGGGGAGCCCTAGCAGCTCCTAAGGAACTCTGTCAGCTGTCATTGATCAAGGCTTTGTTCCAGCTAACCCTGGACTGGGGAGGATCAAGCTCTCTCATCCTGTTAAGTGCCAGGCAGTTTATGCATAAGGGTGATGTCAGAGTTTAACTCCAGCTAGCGGCTAAGCACCACACAGACACACTTAACTCACTCAACCCTGGTGGGATGGGGGAAACAATCAGAAGGATAAAAGTGAGAAAGCTCAGGGGTTGAGATAAAGACAGTTCGATAGGTAAAGCAAAAGCCGAGTACACACAAGCAAAATAAAATAAGGAACTAATTCACCACTTCCTTTTGGCAGGCAGGTGTTCAACCATCCTCAGAAAGGCAGGGCTCCATCGCTCGTAATGGTTACTTGGTAAGACAAACATCGTAAGGCTGATCATCCCAGCCCCCTGCCTCCTTCTTCTTCCCCCAGCTATGATGTCACATTGTGTGGGATATCTCTTTGGCTAGTTGGTGTCTGTTGTCCCAGTGTGCCCTCCCAACTTCTTGAGATCCCTCAACCTCCTTTCTGGTGGGGTGAGGAGCTGAAATAGCCCTGATTCTGTGTGAGCACAATAATACAGGCTATTTTGCAACAAGGCTTCTAGGGTGTTTGAATGGACTTTTTATCGTCTCTCACCTTGATGTAATACAGGATACATAGTAAATGACATGGGTTTTAACAAAAGTTTTGTGAAATATTGCTTCATGGATACTTGTAGATGGACCAGTAAATGAAACAGAAAATAATCTGAAATTACCGGTAAGTATGAACAGTTATATAACATATCTTTACTTGCAATACCATTTTCAGTGTTATTTATGCCAATGTCACTTTATAGATGTGGTTTGTATACTGTAGACACATTGCTAGGGTACAGAATCAATATGGTGTATTATTGCAAATCAAGATGTTCAGGATGGTTCTGGAGTTTGCTTGAAACTGTATATAAAAACAAGGAGTGAATGGCATGATAAACTTTGGTTCTTTGCCTGTTGCGCCTTTCCTCTCCTTCCCCATTTGGCTGCTACTTGAGATTATCATCTCTTCTAATATCTGAAAGCAGCAATATCTAGGAAAAAGAATGTAAGTGAACACAGACTCCTGTAGGTATTTTTTCCCAGCTTTATAGCTAGTATGGGTAGTTTTGGATAAAATGGAAGTGTGTTAAGAAAATGAGACTTGTGGCCTAAGAGACAACTGACATAGTAGAAAATAAAACTATGAATATAAAATGTAGTAGAATATGAATGTAGTAGAATATAAAAATATGCATTTTGCCTTATCCTTTGGCCAAAGGGAAGTAAGTCATACATGACATTTAATAAAAACTGAATCTTAAAGTAGATAATTAAGTGCTAAATTTCTAAACCAATTTATGTGTTTGATATAAACAATCCCTGTTAATATTTAATTGTTAGAGGCCAAATTTAGACTATTTTTAGAGTAACCTATGTAAATTTTCAGTCTTTTTAACAACATGCTCTGACCGTACCTCTGTGTCGCATATTCATGAAGCACATCCAACTGTCTTAATGAAGACTTATCTTACTGTCAACATGTCTGTGCCCCTAAGTCCAAGTTGATATTGTAGATACTGCTTCCAGGAATCCAAACCCCATTTTTAACAAGTACAGTTAATGACTTCATGTTTACTGAGTTGAAATTTCTCAAGCAAATCCACATCTCAAAAATGCTATTTTAATTTGTAGCAAATTGGTCCTACTATGAAATGTTAAATTCAAGTCTTCCATCTTCTAAATTCTCAATGGGTCAGGTGAGTTAGGTAATGTATACAGAATTGTTTTCAAGGATTCTGTTAGATGTCATCCTGCCATTTCATATGCCATTCTTCCTGTTTGTTCAAACCAAACAAGTAGACTTTCAAGCAGAACAGAAAAATCTATATCTGAATTAATTTCAGAATAAACTATACTCCCTTCTATGAAAAAAACTTTTTAATTTGTTTCTATAAACTCATATGGTTCCACAACTATTCTCAGGAAGGCTATCTACAATAACAGTTTCTTGCTATGGTTAAGTTTGTGTGTTTATTCTACCTCTCCTTCTTTGAACTTTTTTATTTCTTATGCCTGAAAAGAAAAAAAAAAAAGTTGAAAAAGAGCTCCAAGGTAAAGTTTCAAAGAATTTAGAGGACATAAAATGTTTCATGGTAAAAATATAAGTATAATTGTTTTGAACTTATTTATAACATAACAATCAGAATAGCATTCAAGAAATCAGTGCTATATAGGGAGGGTATGTATGTGTCATTTAATCTTCTTTAGCCCAAAGAGATTAAAGTATTTATAACTTAAGTATATAATCTACAAATGATTTAACACAGTTATTGAAATAGTTTCTAAACTTTGGAAATTATACTGTATCCCAAAACATACTTTTAACTAAAATGTCAAATACCAAGAATGAATAAAAGGTACAAAGAAGATTGGTACAAAGAAGATTTTTTTAGAAGTAGTAGTAATTTTCCTTTTAATAAAGTATCAACCATTTTAAAAGAAAGCAGAACAAACAAAAAAAACCAACAAACTTGAAGGCCAAACTTCTATCTGAAGCTGTGCTCAGAGAAAACCCATCAAAATTAATGAGAGTTCCTAAGATACCTGTAGTGAGGGGGAGAGTTAGGTTTAGATTTGTCCATTTATTACATTTAGTTTAGGGAGAAAGAAGCATTCTGCGATTAAGATGCAGGGTTGGGAGTTAAGCAATCCAAGGTAAATGTTTTACTATAGATTTCCCATGTAATCTGTTGCAAATTATTTGAATGTTCTGGGTCTTCTCCTCCTCAGGAATGCAGGTTTTGCACTGCTGTATTTCTAGTGGTACTGTTGCAGTGAATTGAGGTCCAAGAGTTTTCATTTTTCAACTGTGAAATAATTGAGAAAGTGATGTTTCTTATCTGCTTATCCTTGGTTTATGGGTCTTCATTAATTCATACCTATGTATTCTTCTCTGGCACAAAGTTGTAAATATAGCACTACAGCGTTGATATATTGATTAACTGAATACAAGAGGCAACATAGTTCCAGGAAGAAGGCAACTGCACAGGCTTATAAGAAGTACAGTCTTCATTGTCCACTTACACTAGTGTACTGTGTAACCCTGGCAATCATTTTGCTATTCTGTACCTCTTCTTTTGTGACTCCATCTCTTCTTTTCAGAGAACAGACTTTTTTTGCACAGGTGTTGTATCTTAGAATTTCTTTCCTTAGGATAATCATACTTTTCTTTGTTATGGTTTCTAGGTGCCTCCTTAACACAAACAACACAGAAGAAAAACATTTTACTTAGTTTCTCTTTTCTTCAAATCTAGGGGTTTAAGTGCAATGAGGTATGCACTATAACAATAAAATTAAAATAGGTTAATACTTATCCCCTCTGTTAAAACAATTTTCCTTCTTCCTACTTGTAATTAAAAAAAAAATAGTCAAAAACATTTAAAATGTGAAGCTTTGAGTTCCAAGAAATGCTAAAAAAGTAAGGAAAACTTAAAGAACAGTATTTTAAAACATATTCATAGGAAATTCAACTGAAAATATTAGAAAGCTGTATTTGGACTCTAGTCAGTCAGTCAGTCAAAGTTCGTGGCTAGGCTTCGCGAACAAAGATTTGGGAAGAGCACTACCCACATTTGTTGCAAGCATGTTCATGGCTATAAAGGCCAATACGAGATAGACATGTTCGGTTGCAAAAGGCACAGTAGAAAGACTCCTTAGGAGGTATATTCTGCAAGGCACGATTTGGACTCTAGTCTTCAATGGAAAAAAAACTCAGATTAAAAAAAACAATCCTTTGGATAAAGTATTGTAATGGTTTTGAGTCTAGGCCTTCCTTCCTGGCAACCAGGAAGGAAGGAAGGAAGTATTCCATCCTATTCCTTTACGGAATCAAAGATATAAATAAGACAGAGAGAGAAGTCTCTTCCTCTCTCCTCTTCCGGTGAGGTTTGGAGACAGCAGACTCCCGCAGCCGGTCTCACTCATTGTGGGGGAGCTGAGGCCTCGTCGGGCCAATGGGGCCCGTTGTTTGTGCTGATCCGGGGTCCGGTAGTGTGGTGGCGGCGTTTGGTGCATTTGTGCTATCTCAAGGAAAGTATTAAGATTTTCTTTGGCTAGTTCTTTATTGACTGTGTATACCTGGTATTTTTTGGTTTGGTTTGGTTTTTTTGTCCCTTTTTCCTTTTCCTTTGGGGGTGTTAGGGGTTTCTTTCTTATGAGTATACAGTTTTTGTAATTGTATATAAATGTAGTGTAAGTGTAATATATATTTATATATTGCTTTAGCGCTCTTATTTTGGTTCTCTTTTTTTTGTTTTTTTTTTTCTCTTTTCCCTTGTTTTTTGGGGGGGGAAGCTTTTGCTGTGGTGTTGGAGACTTGACAGGGAGCCAGCTCCAAACCACAACAACTATTCCCTACCAGATTGTTTTCTTGGTTATGATATGAACTAAAGAGACGATGTCACTGGAGAATTGTAAGAATATTTTTTTTTATTTGAATAGAAAATACAGTGCAAAATATTTCCTACAGAAATTTTCTTATTACTATTCATTGGAGACTTCCTCACTTTTGGATTTGTTGATGGGAACTTAGCTGCAGAATTAAGGTACAGGAATTGAGTACTCATAATGAAAAAGTTACTCTTGTTTAACTGAAACATTCTACAAAGCGCTAAGGATAACTGGAAACTTACAAAATCAAATTCTCAAACTCTTATTCTGACAAAAATCTCTGACAAAATTCAAGGTAATGTGAGGTTTGCCTAGGGAAGAGCAATTTTTGGTTTTTTTGCCTGATTATTACAGGCAAATTCTCAAGTATTTAATGGCATAAACTCTAAAGAACTTGATCTATGCAGTGCTATTGATTCCATCCAAAAATCATGGAAGGACTGCAATGTTCTTTTAATTCATTAAATTTTCAGTTCATGCTTCTTTTAATTTGCTTCTTTAAAAAGCATCTTTAGAAACTAGATTTTCAAGCTATTTTCAGCATTGCTGCCCCAACCTTTCGTTTTCCTAGGTAGTGCTCTGTTTTGATCTGCTGCAGTTCTAAAAAGAGCACAAGGTACCATAAGAAGCACTAATAATTCATAATATCATTTCATGATTTGGATTGAAAAAATATACTTTTGAAATGGTACACTAATGAAGATTCCTTGTAATTCTTTTGACAAGGGAGTTCTATTTATACAGAACTTTCCACAAGATAACTTCATGTCTGACATCACTACAATACATTTTGCCTGATGATTCCTGTTCCAGATCAAGTGTGTCTAGGAAGCTACTTATTAACTAAGTTATCAGACCAAAAAAGAATGTATTTGGTTTGAAGGTAGCAACACAGAGGAACAAATGTA